AGCGGCCCTGCCCTGGCCCTGATTGACCCGCGCCCCCATACCCAGAGCCGTGACCTCCCCCTATGCCCCCTCCGGGGCCGCCCTACCCCTGAGCCCCGGCGCAGCAGCCGCCCGTTTCCCGGAGGTGGTGGCGCAGGTGTGGGACCAGAACGATGTTCTCAGCCCTGAAGAAGCTGGTGGGCTCGGACCAGACTCCGGTCAGAGACAAGAATATCCCTGCGGGGCTGCAGTCCATGAACCAGGCTCTGCAGAGGAGGTTTGCCAAGGGAGTCCAGTACAACAGTGAGTCGGAGCCCAGTTTGGGGTTGGGGTCTGCTGGGGAGCACACTCAGGCCTGGGTGGGAGGTGAGCCGCATCGGTCGGTCCCATCTGGAGCCCGGTAGCATGCCCAGGGACCCCGGTGGGGCTGCTTTCCTTGTGCGTGGCGGTGCTTTTGCCGGTATTCACCCAAAGCCAAGTTTGCAGTTAAACGTTAAGAGCTTGTGAAAGCGTGGGAGGAAGAAGGGATGGGAAACTTTTCTCTGTCTGTGTGGGACTTGGGAACCTGTAGTGCAGCAGGGGCCCTGCCGGCAGATGCCCTGAACGCCTGCTTTGCGCTGACTGTGGCGCAAGGGAGGCTTCCTTGCAAATCAATTTTTGTCAGCTAAAGCACCAGGAGAGTGACTCCCCTGGGTGTGTGGGTGACCTTCCCTGCAGCCCAGGATAATGGTATTTATAATTAAGCTCTCGTGGTTATGTGATAAGGGTCTGTTGAAAAGCTCTGCCCTGCCGGGCTTTAATAAAAGGTGAGTGATGTGTGTCTTTACGTGCCCTTGGTACATAATTCCATCCTGACTCTCTTTTCTGCAACTGATACATTTGCTCTTTTCTCAGGGAACGCTTTCAGGGTTTTTTATTTCCTTTCAATGGTGAGGCTTAGGCTTGTCTCTTCTTCCCTTGAAGCTCAGCAAAGGTTATTTCTAATGCAGCGTTTCTGGAGGGCACTGCAAGTATGTGGAATACATCCCAGAGTAACAACTGTGAGACGGGGACAGGAGTTGTGTCATCCTTGCTGAAAATAGAGACGGTACCAGAGAGCGCTGCGAGGATCGGCTCGGCTGTGTGGATCCGGGCAGGCAGGGAAGTCAGATGCAGACGGCTGGGAAGGAGCCTGATTTGTAAACGTGGCACTGAGTAGTTTCTGCAAAGGCACACACGTGTTGGATCTTTATCTGAAACAGAACGTGAAGGGAGAGGTTTGCACTTTGGGGTTTGGGGCTGGTTTTGCTTTGTTTAGTGTTCTATTGACCGTGGTTTTGAACTGGTACGTTTTGAAACCCCCTTCTTTAGGGAGAGCACTTGGTGCCTTTCCCGATAGCACATCCGTTTCGTATGCCAATAGCGCTTAATTTAGAAAATAAGCCATGAATGTGAACAGAAGCACAGTGCTGTTGTTAAGAGATTTGGTTTCCAGTGAGAGACGGGGGGGTGAGGATGAAACCATTGTGCCTTGGAGCATGGTTAAACACCTGCCTGGAGAGCTGCCAGTTACGGCCCTTGGATGTGCGCAGGGGCTTCGTGCAGCCCACAGGCCAGAACACAGCCACGTGCTTCGCTGGGCCGTGTCCGAGATCGGGTGGCTCGCACCAGCTCGTGAATTATGCAGGAGAAAGGAGTTGACTCCTCAGACCGTGAAGGTTTGTGCTGCGGGCAGCACGGATCGGCTGCATCCTGCTGGCACAGCAGTCGGTGGGGCCAGCTCGGTACGTGATGACTAACGGCGTCGTGAACAAACCTGCGTGGCTCTGTACCTGCCTGCCAGCAGTGCTGCAAGGCCGAAAATGCCAACAGCCAAAGCCAGCCGGAGCATCGCTGCTTTTTGTCTCGTTACCAAAAGCCTCAGGAAAGCGTTTTGCTTTGTGCTCTGTCTTACCAGCATTTGTGTTCCAGTGACTGGTTTCCTATCTGGAATAAAACTGCAGCTTGCTGCCGCTGCCGTCAGGAAAGCTTTCCAATCTCCATAGTAACTCTTCCCAAAATTGCTGTTATATAACATCTACAGGAGACACAGACAGGCTTACAAAAGGGCTTTGAAGTGCCCCGTGCAGCCACGGCACTGGGGACAGGGGTGGGCTGCAGCAGGGCGAGGTGGTCTCAGTTTGGAGGTGGGCGGTGAAGGGTTGTCCTTACCAGGGCCATTGCTCAGAAAGGGCAGAGCTGCAAAGCCTGAGCGTTGCCAGCGCTCCTTTCTTGGCAGATACACAGCATTCAGCAGAGCGCTGCAAAATGTGCTTTGTAGCCACCCTTAGCACACACAGATCTGGGAAACAGATCCCCAGACCTAAACCAAAGGGTGCTGTCATGACCGGTGTTACAGAAACGTTTGCTTGCTTTCGTAGACCGTTATTGGTGGTGAACTGAAGGCTGCTCCTTCCCAAAAAAAGATGCAACACTTGGGTTTGCTTGCTGCTGAAGTGGGCAGCGGAGGGCTGGGACATGGGCCGTGTCACCAGGCCCTTGGTGCCTCACCACTGGGCTCAGGATGGGCTGTACCATGCCAGCCTTTGCCACTGTCCAGGACGTTTTGTAACCAGACAGCCCCCCCGTCTGAGGTGATGCTGGGTTATGTGGTGGTTTAGTGGCACTGAAGGGTATACAGCTCTACCTTGAACCAAAATGATTTGTTTCAATGGTTTTTCTCCCACTCGGTTTTCAAAAGGAAGTGTGTTGCGGGGTGGGTCGGTTCAGATCTCTGATGAATTGATGAGAGCAAAGGCAAGCATTAGCCCTCGGCAGTGGTCATTTCCTCTGCACAGGACATCCTATTTCAAAGCAAAAGCATTTTCATACTGCACACACACTCCTTATTTGCTCTTTATCATCCGCACAGAGCTCCTGTGTTTTACATACCATGGCCCTAATAACACCAGAGCTCCCTGAGCACTATGGAGGGTACAGAGATGAAAATGATGCACCATACATATAAAGGCTTGGATGTTTATGGGAGATCAAGGTTCCAAAGATGGGGAACCAGTCTTTGTAAGGACTTGCTCTTTTTGTTTTCCTGCTTGAGACAGCCCGAACTGGGACCAGGTCTGTGGCATCACCGCAGCTGGCCCAGGGAGGGTGGCACAGGCCAGAGCGAGTGGGCTCAGTGAGGAAGGAGCGAGGTGGATCTCATTCCTTTGGCAGCAGTGCTTGCTTGAACAAATTACAAGACAAATTACAAAAGGAAGTACCAGGTTACTCAAACGTGAAAGTTTATGTACAGCAACGATGGCAAACAAGGGTGAAACAAGCGGTTCTGGCTGGGTTGTGCTGGCAAGAGGATTCCCTGGGAGGTATCCGCTGGTGATCAGTGACAGGAGGAAAAGACACGGCGGGTTCAGATCCGTCCATCCTGTCCCCCAGAACACTCTGCACCTTCTGCTCCAGGCTTTATTCTCAACGCTGCATCCAGTGTGTGCACCACTTGATAAACCCCACCGCTGTGCATGCCTGGAGCACGGGCTGCACTGCCCATGAGCCGCAGGTTTGTACTCGGCAGTGCTGAGATACCAAAGTTGGTAGCTCCAACAATTCCCCCCAGTCCCTCCACCTTATTACTTTTCTGCCCAAAATGTGCTTTAAACAAGAAAACTTACTTAATGTGGTCCATCCTTTTGTAAACATCGTAGTCCTTACTTCTTTTGTGTTGTTTTAGAGTCAGTTCCCAGCCTCTGATTGTGGTTTTGTTAACTATTTCCATTCAGCATTGCTCCCAAGAGAAAGGCTTCCCCTCTCCCTGCTGCTTCCCACCTTCTGTTCTTCTCTCCTATGGTTGGTGCGGGCGTTAGTGGAACGTGTGGCAAACCTGCTTTGGCTGCTGTCTGGCCTGTGTCCCCCGGAGGTGTGCTTGGGGGTGTCTGCACATCAGCTGTGCTTGGGGGTGTCTCCACATCAGGTGTGCTGCTTTTGGCAGCAGAGCCAGCTTAAAGCATTTGAATTGCAGCCTTGCAGTCCCAGTCCCAAAGACCTTAATGAGGGCGAGGTTATGACCCTTTATTAGCAAAGGAGTTTGGGGATATGTGCTGTGAAGTCTGAGATCCTCAGTGTCCTGGAGGAACATGGGCAGAGCTGGGAATTGCTGATTTCTCCTTCTGAGTTGGTCCAAGACCTCTCTGGGCCTGCGTCTTCACTGCTCTGCTTCCATTTCCCCACGTGGAGAATGGAAATCCTTGTTTTTCCTGATGCAGGGACAAGATGAACAGTTACTTGTTTAGCTCTTTCCTCACATCCTGATCTCTTCCCCATCCCTACCCTTCCTCCCACAGCTCATTCTCTTATCTTTGCTACGAACCTGTGGCTGTCTGCAGCAAGTGCTGATTTAACTTAAACTCAAAATCAGGCAGCAGTGTTCCTGTCCCATAGATGACAGTACAAACCTCCCCCATAATTACGGGTCCTCTTTCCGCACTCAGACACAGCCCAGCCTGTGAGGTACCCTCTTGGCTGCGCCCTGAAGCTCCCTCAGCTCATCCTGTCTCGCAGATGCCTGGCATTGAGCAGACCTGCCCCAGCCAAAGTCATCCCAAATACAGGTTTTGTTTTGCTCAGAATGATTTGCATCACCTGCCTTCTTCCTCTTCTGGTTTTAAAGACTTTTTTAATTTCTTCAGGAAACAAGTCAGTGGAAACTCATGCACTGTGTAGGAGGAAAGAGATCCCAACAGGGGGAGTGTTGAAGCTGGAGGGGGCCGTTGGACCTGTTCAAACTGAGCACGAGGTGCCACAAGCACCCTACGTTGATCTAAATGTGAGCTGCTCAGGGTGAGGGTGAGCCCCTTGCCTCTCCAGCCGTGCCTCCGTGTGCTGCTTCCACCGCTCTGAGCACTTGAGCGAGAGAAGAAAGCTGGAAATGGGTGATTTTGGGGTTAGTTTTCAGCAAGTGCAGTTCCTTGATCCAGCTCGGTGCGTAGCTGCATAAATAGCACTGTTGACACTAGGAAAGTCCCGGGGGAGGTGAGATTGTGGGGAGAGCTCACAGTCAAGTTGTCTGACAGTGATCCTGAAAGTGCATCTTGAGGGCAGCCAAACCGGTTTAGGAAGGGTCTATTTGTACCTTAAAACTCACTGTTTCAGTATCTCATGCTGCACTTCGTGGGAGGAATGTGAATTTTAAAATGGCTCTCTAAGGTAGGCAGTGGGAGCATTTCGAAAGGCTTGGGATTTCAAGGGGACAAATGGAATCTCATTCTGCCTGTGCCGTGGACTTGCTGCATTAATTCAGAATAATCAGAGGAATCCTGCATTGGTTGTTTCTCATCTGTAAGCAGGAAACAGGATCACACACAGGGCAACAGGAGATGCAGGAAGCAGTTTGTTGTCTCTGCAGAGTTGCTCTGGGACCTGTAAGTGAAGTCAGCCTATAAATCTATGTTCATTTTTGCCTTCATTATCCTTTTGCTATTTTAATAGGTAGAAGAGTAAACAGCAGTAGCTCTCAGTGTACCACAACAAAAGCACAGTGGAACTGCAGCACAAAATTTCAACAGATAAAACTCTTCCACAGACTTTCACCTCAGCCTGCCATTAGATGTCTGAGTGGCCCATTTTCTAGAGGATAATAGCTCCTATTCAAGCATAAAGATTCAGTTCAGGTCAGCTTACATTTCCCAATAGCCTTGTGGTTGCCACTTGAAACAGGGATATTTTTTTTAAGAAAAAAAGAATACCTTACTATAGCATAAAATGTAGAACACACCACACATTGTTTTCAGAAAGAACAAGGTAATGTTAGGGTTGGCTCTGCAAAGTTCATTATATTGATTGCTACAGGAGTTACTTTGCTGGGTTGTGTACAGTTTATGGTATTTTGGACGTGTCCTTTCCTTGGGAGGGTTTGAATGAGTTTCTCCACTGCTGGGCTTTCCTTGCTGTGTGTACAAGTGGTGGTGGATCAGCTGGGAGGGTGTGAGGCTGCTCGGTGGGAGCGGAGCTGTTGTGCCTTGACCTGAGACTGCAGTTTCTGAGAGTGCCTTTCACAGAATCGCAGCATCACAGCATGTTGGGAGTTGGATGGGACCTCTGGAGATCACTCAGTGCAACCCCCCTGGAGCAGGGTCACCAGAGCAGTCACACAGGAACACGGCCAGGGCTTTGGGTGTCTGCACACAAGGAGACTCCACAACCTCTCTGGGCAGCCTGGGCCATGCTCCATAACCCTCACACTGACAAAGTTTGGCCTCATCTTCAGCTTGAACCTCCTGTGCTCCAGCTTGGGACCATTGCCCCTTGTCCCGTCACTGGACATCAAACCTTTGCCAAATGCCGTCAGCACACCCACACCTGAAACCAGCCAGGGGCTAAGGGAGGGACTGTCCCTCCAACACACAGAGGACCCACAGGGATCCAGTCTCTCTTGGTTTTAATTCGCTGTTATTTATGTCCCCAGTGCTCATTTTGGTTCAGTTTAGCTTGTTCCTGATGCATGTGAGATGGACGGATTTTGACTTAATTTGAATCAAACTGTGGCTGTCACCAGAGGCAGTTTGGTGGCAGTTGAAGACAGACACCTGTGCACATTGACTCCCTTGTCCCTGCAGAGGATTGCCTCCTCACCTGAGACCATCTGAGCTGTGAGCTGGATCCCTGAAAAGAGGATGCTGCTCCAGTGCAGGAAAGGTGGGGACAGCCAAGAGCAATGACCTCTGCGGTGGTGCTCACCAGAAGCTGCCTCTCAGCACCATCCCAGCAGAACGGTTTCACCAATGCTGGGTTCAGAGCCAGCACCTCTGAGTGCAGGACCTTGGTTCGGCAGCTCGACTGAGAACTGGTCCTTGAGCTTTCAGTGACTGGGGGCAACTGTTTCTAGGGAGTGAGTATTTATTTGTAGGAATGACAAGTGTTTAAGGAGAAGTGGGAACGGTAGAGGAGGTGGCTGAAGGAGAAGCCTGGCATAGAAGGCTGGCAAAGGGATAGGGACAGGAGTGGACTTGAGCTTTCAGTGACTGGGGGCAACCGGTTCTAGGGAGTGAGTATTTTTCTCTAGGAATGAGAAGTGTTTAAGGAGAAGTGGGAATGGTAGTGGGAAGGAGAAGCCTGGCATAAAAGGCTGGCAAAGGGATAGGGACAGGAGTGGAGACTTTGCTGACTGAGCTTGTGCAGATTCTGAAGATTCAATCTTGGTGTCGCTTCTTTCTGCTGAGCTGGTGTGAGTCTGAATAAACACTGATTTTAATGACTGAGGCTCGTGTTTTTTAACAAACCTCATCATGCCTGTGTAATACGGGAGAGATAATTACAGCTGAATAACGCTTGCAAAAAGTTAAGATGCTTTTCACAGCATTCTTCAATTTGATTTTAATCAACTTTATTTTGTCCGCTTTCTCTTTTCCCCAGTGAAAATTGTCATCCGAGGGGACAGGAACACTGGGAAAACCACGCTCTGGCACCGACTGCAGGGAAAGAAATTTATTGAGGAATATATCCCAACTCAGGAGATCCAAGTCACCAGCATCCACTGGAATTATAAAAGTAAGATGGAAGGGGGTGGAGGGAATGACAGTCATGGGACAGTGCCTTGGGGCTAGAAATTCCACTGCAGCCTCCTTTCTTTCTTTCCTCTGTGTCTGCTTGGGATGGACTCTCATCGCTCTTGTTATTTAATTTATTGTTCACAGTCTCTCCATCGTATTTCTAATAATTTTACTCAGAAACTGTATGTTGTGAGTGCTAAAGGATACGTCTTTGAAAGCTGCAATTCAAGACGAGTGTTTAATAGGTGACCCAAAAGATTTGGAGTATTTGTGATACGCTTGACTTGTTAATGAAAACAGGTTTATTATGGAAATCTGTCTCTGAGGATAGCCCTCTTTTGTTATTGGGTTGCGTAGAAGTGAATAGCATGGTGCAAACTGGTTTTTTATCAATTCATGTTTTAAAATGATTGTAGTACTAATAACTCTAGGCCGACTTCCTGAAGCACAGAAGTATCTTACCAGTAGCTTTTGCAAGTGCTTGCTTGAGTCTGAGAGATGAAGTGTGAATTTGTTTTATTTTTATTTTTTTCCCATCTGCTCTGACAATCGAAAGTGGCTACGGAGAAGACACTGCAGGCATTGGAATGGCATAAGGCAAATTTAAGCATTAAGCCCAGCTTTCGCTGTGTGTTGGTAACTTCCAGTGCCGAGTCCTGACACGACGTGGTTCGTGTCTGTAGAGCTCTCTGGGGAGGGCTGACAGCAACACATACACGTGGTGATGGACTTTTCTCAAGGTGAAGCATTGCCAAGCCAGTCTAAATATTTGGAAGGCTATACATGAAATGATGCCTTTCATTTGTGGTTCTTTTACTCTGTGAAACGCTGTGTAATTTTCTACGTAATAATTTCCAGCAGTATAGGAAGTTCTTCGTTGACCTTCTGAAAACTTGCTTTAGAAAATGACTTTCCATCCAACGTGGGTGATGGGGGCGCTCTGTGAAATTGGCTCACATCTAATTACTGCCCTGTCGGCTGAGTTAATGTGCAGAGGAAAAATAAAGTTTGTTTTTCCTGCGATCGCGCACTCAAGCTGCCTTGAGTCAACATTGTGAGGTAGCTGGCAGCAAATATTTATGGATGTTAATTAAATCACTGTCAAACATTGAAGGAGTCTTACATTGCCTGGCATTAGATTTATATTTTAGATGTGGAACATACCACCTTGTCATACCTTCAGAAATTTCATCCTGTAGGAGTTAATAGAGGTAGAGGAATTTGAGGGACTTCTTCTTGCCCAAAATGAACAAAATTACTTTTCTGTGCCAGTTGTTTTAATGGATATTTGCAATTTTTGTGTCCAAGTCAGGACTTACCATTCCTGGCCCTAATGTACGCTTTTTTCCAATTATTCTGGTCAGCAATTTCTTTCTCTGCTTGGCAGTCTCGGAAAGGGGAGCCTGAACTAAAAATTGGCAATTACTTTTGTTCAGACAGTTTGGTTTGTGGAGGGGTGTGAGGAACGGCAGAGCTGCTCTGCTCAGTCAGATTTGTGCTCCAAAGCTTATCAAGTGAATCATGTCATTGCATGAGAGTAAATATGTCTGCAGGCCTGTGAATTCCCACTGGTGAACCCACCCATAAAGCGATGATTCTTCTTTTTAAATGAGCTTTCATGCACTGGAGTCTTCTCACACCTCTCCACTGTTTTATTGGGAAAGCAATGTCTTAGCATGCCGCTGGCTGCAGAGAACTCGGCCAGATAGCAGCTGAGTAGAGACTTCTTGAATGTTTTGATCCATGTTTGATAATAATCCGAGTTGCAGCGTTAGAAGGATGAATTGGCACTCTTTTTGCTGTGACATGCCTGCCAGAGCCATTAAGGTGAAACGCTGCTGCGTATGAGTCACACCAGAGCCAACACAGCAGCACTACAGTAATTATCCTCTTGTGTGTTCAGGATCATCAGAAACGAAGCTGGTGGTGAAAAGGAAGAACTTATTGGCTGCAAGGTAGCAGGAGCAGTGGTGCTAACAGGAGGAAAACCCATGTGGAAAAATGGTTTTCTTGGATCTTGTGCAGTCAATTTGTGTGTGAAGTTCTGTGCTTCCCATCAGGGTGTGGAGCAGGTCCCTCTGGGTCAAACGGGTCAGCTCCTCAGCTGTCTGGGGGTGCTGCTGCCCAGCAGGATGTCAGCACTGCAGAAATCATTCAGCAGGAGAGCAAATTTGAACTGAGGGTGCACTTGGTGTTGGGATGAGGAGGTGGGGATCTCTGGAGCAAAGTCCCAGTGCTAGGTATGGGGTCACCTCTGAGGTGACCACTGCACGTCACCCCAAGGGCTTACTTTTCTGAAGTGGGGTTCCAGCTTCTCCACAGAAGTGCCTTCTTAATGCTTGTGTGCTGCTTCACATGGTGCTGCTGGAGAGAACAAGCAGCCCTGGGCTCCTCCTGTGCCCCTGCAAAGTTTGCCATCTGAGGAAGGACAAACATCTCCTGTCCTTTTGCAGAAAGCCTGGACTGTTGAAAGGTGTCAGGGCTGACTTTGCTGGCCCAGCCATTCCCTCATCCCCAGCTGCAGGCTATGGATTTGGGGGCAGACCCCCACAAGCTGATCTGTGTCCCGGCACACCCTGAATGGACCATGAACTCAAGCAGTCCCCCCTGGTGTGCCAGTGCCTGTGTGGGAATAGCTGGCCAGGGAGGGTGCCAGGCAGGTGAGTAATGGGGAGTGGTTGGACTTTAGCCGTACCTGGCTCGATGGTCTGTAGAAATAGTCAGGAGCAGAATTAATTTGGGGTGTTTAATCATTTGAGCAGAGGTTTCAGTGCTGCAGGCTGCTGTGTGGCTCTTGGGTTTGCAGTCCTGGCTGAGCTGACCCAGGGCAAGGCTCCCGTTTGTCCTGTGCCACCCTGCCCTGCTGCCAAAGAGGAGGAGAAGCGGGAGCTGCTGTGAGGAAAAACAGAGGCTGATTTTGCTTCATAACATAAATGTAAACAGAATCTTTCTCCAGAAGCAGAGGATCAAAGTTTTCCTTTATTCATAATCTGTCTTTACAGTATTTTGAAACATTTAAGTTAAGCCAACTGTGAATTCTTTAGAGGAAATGTTTCCTGGCTTGACAATGATGCTCAGCTAAATTCTCATGCCATCCTATGAGATTATTTTCTACTCTGTGACATTATCCTCCTATTCCATTGCTTTATGCTCAGAGCTGCTCCAAGTGCAAGCTTTGGCTTTGTAGCCTATAGCATTTCCAAAAAACAGCTGTTTCTTGGAGCAGCTTCATAAAGATGGGACTGCTTGCTATGGAAACACCAGAGCTGCCCATCCTGCTGTCGGTCCCAGCAGCGGGGCCTCTGGAGTTTGAATCTTGCTTGCCTTGCTTCAGATTTTAACAACTCAAGTACACCTCACTGCTTATAATTTACTGGTGCTGCTGCTCGTTAAGAGGCAAAATTGTTAATAATATCTTATTTTTTACAAAATATGACTTGAAATTTGTGGAGAAAATGGATTTCTGTAGCTGCACTGTTTGTCGTGTTCACATGAAGATGTTACTAGCAAGGTTGACCTTCCTTAAATAAGTGTATTCCTTTTTCTTTTCCCAGTTGTACGCCTTGCTTGTAGACCAGACTTTCATTCTCCCAGTTAAATTGATGTATTTTTTAAACGAATATGGAAACCTCTGTATGTTAAGGAAACAATCTACACCACATATTTGGCATTCATCTGCTACTTTGACGATGTTGGTGTTGGGTTGGGCTCTCTGTGATGAGTGTTGAGCGTCGTTCATGTCACTACAACCCTCTGCTAACACTTTGTGCCCTCCTTGTGCTTTTAGCCACTGACGATATCGTTAAAGTTGAAGTCTGGGATGTAGTTGACAAAGGTAAGATCTATAACTTCCTTTCTAATGGAGATTCGTTGTTCTTTCTCAATTTTAATCAAAAGCTTACGTGAAATCCAGAAATGTTTACTTACACTTTAGAAAAATATCTGTACTTATTATTTTCAAGTGCATGGATGTTACTTCCTCAAAAAAATACGGAGAGAGGAGTCTCCTGTGCCTGTTATTTGCAATCTGAACTTCAGATCAAACCCAATATTCAGAAGCAATCGTTTCATGTGCTCCACGACAGATGAAATAGCCTGCTGATGAGTGTGTTCAGGTTCCCTGAACTTCATGATAAATTTCATCTTCTCTCCTTTATAGTTTTCTGTATGTTTAGACAGCTACTGAGTTCTTTGTTCTGTTTATGAACGTTCTTACTGAGCTGTTTTTTTCTAAAGGAATTGCTATTGTGGATTTGATAAAATGTGATCTGCAGTGAATAATGCATGCAGAGGGACGGGATAAAAGAGAAGCCAATTACTTAGGACAATTCACATAGGGCAGAAAATGCAATATATTTAATCCAAAATCTTTTCTAAGTGCTTAGCCTAGGAAAGTACTCTAATGTATAAATACATTTTTCATTAGTTTTCAGGTCTCGTCAGAGTATAAAGTTCTATTTTATACAAATTAAATCCCGAAACCGTATGTGGTGATGCAGTGCCAATCTGGATGCAGTGCAGTCTGTTGCTAGAACGGGTTGGGGTTCAGATGTAAATCTTAACAGCCCGGGTACAGATACTGTTTGGCTTTTAAGAGGCATTTTGTACCAGCCAGGCTCCTGGTTTGATGTGTGAGTATGGTCAGGAAAGCAGCTCTATGATGAGCATCTCTTGCTCTGTGGGTTGTGCTCCTTAATTGTTCATGTTAGCCAAATTGTATTTAATACAGTGAAAAAGAAGAGGTTATAAGAGATGGCAGCTCTAGTTCGGATGCATGGTGGAGCCCTTAGGTTAAACTTGAACAGGTAACTTCAAATGAAAATCCTGGGCACTTTTTCTTCTTTTGAACCCCAGTTCTCACAGTGTAGACAGAGCCTTCCTTAGGTCTGCGTTACTGCTGAAGTCAGCCCGATTGCAGTTTGGATTTCGGATCCTGGGCTCACGTGTGCAGGGCTGGAATCGGAGCACAACATCTGTTTTCTCGCTGCCTTGCAACTTTGGTATGAATAGACAGACAGATAATTTGGGAATCATGTGGTTCCAGCATTTATTTCTGTGAATAGCTTCTCTGGGCAGAGTCATCTTCTCGACTAGAGACTTGTCATTTTTTTGGCAAAACGGATGGGATTTGCTACGTGCAGATGTTGATAACAGCTCTTCTGGTACCGCTGTCATTTCTGACAGCGGAGCATGTGTTAGAAATCTCGAGGGCCTCTCTTCTCTCCATTTCATATTCTTTTGAAATAAAAATCATTCTGTTAAGATCTCTACTTATAGGCCACAGATACGTATTTTTATGTAATCAAATGCACTTAATCAATGCGGTGTGAAAAATTCAGACCGTTGTGATGTAACAAAATCACATCCTTTCCTATTGCCATGGAGTTGTGGATTCTCGATAAGGAAAATGTGCAAATTAACCGCTAAGAGCTTGCTTATATCTTAACTTTCATCTTCATGTTATCTCATGACATTTTTGTTCTTCCTCCTGTATGCTTAGGACAAAAAATCCTCCTACGTGATGCTTTTGGTGAGAGCGACACTAATCTGGACCGTAGACTTGTGGTAGTGAAGCATCCAGTGCTGCTGCAGCGTAGTGCTGATGAGACCTGATCCTCCTTTTTTCCCTTTCCTACCAGATCCTGGCTAATGTGGATATCTAGAGCGGTGCAGAATGCTGCGTTTATCAGGCTGGATTTGAAACTGCCAAAACTTTGCATGTTCTGAACATGCATTTCAACATACATTGCTTTCCAGGCTAAATTTTTTTGCCTGTGTTTCCCCACGTTGGAAGAATTGCTCCTTGTCAGAGAAAATTAAGAGACCTGTATTGAAATTAAGGTGTTTGAAAATGTATTGAAAGCCTGATGTGGGCACGTAGGTAGCCTGTCTATAAAAGATGTGTCCATAAAGTGCAGTTTTCAACTTTAGTCTTGTAAAGCAGCTTTGGTGTCTTTGCTGTGCAGCGCTGCCGTGCGTCATGGCTCGGTGTGGAAGATTTGGGGAGACTTAAGATGCACCCTGAAAAGCTTCACGTCCATTTTTGCACTGAAGTTCAGTGTGGTTTCACTTAGTGGCTTTTCTCCTTGCACTTCCCAGCAGCTGCCTCCATCCTTGTTAGTTCAGGGATGTCCTTTGATGTTTCCCTCCAGGCTGTTTTAGGAACTCAGGAGCAGCTCTGTTAGCCCTGCCTGGCTGGTGCCTTGGTGGCATTTGTTTAGCATGCAGATGGTAATTTGGGAGTGTGGGGAGCAGATCTGTTAGGAAAGCTTAAAACCCATGAGGTTGGTTGGTGCTCTGAAGCAGGGGAATGGCAGCTGCTGTAGCTGCACTGCTCCTCGTCCCTTTTCCTTGGCTCTTTGGGATTTCTTTTTCCTAATGTGCACTCACTGGGGTATGGACTTTGCTGGGTTCTCCTTGGGCCTGCTCAGAGAGCGAGGCTCATTTGTGTAATGATGCCATTTGTTAAATTCTTAACAAGCAGAACTTGCCCCCAGCTATGGATTGTACTGAATTTTGGGTGGTGTATGTAGGAAATACCAGTAAATGCCGTCTCCTTCTCTGCCCTTGGAAGTAACAGAACACAGGAAAGATGTCTCTCGGCAAAAGTCAGTCCTGACTCATCTCTCTGGCTTTGCAGCAAGTTGTGTAACTGCTGCAGGTCATAAAGCTGTAACAGAGCCTGAATGCAGAGAAGCTGCCTGAATGCAGGTGGTTCAAGAACAGTCCTGATCTCCAGTCTTGTAACTTCTGCTGGTTTGGTTCCTGCGTCGTTGCCCATGCACTGACTGAAGGGATCCCATCATATTTTATTCTCTTGCCCCCGAAATAGCATAAACTCCCTCATATTGGACATTCATTTCCTCTCGTTGCCCCATCACCCCCTCCTTCCCAGAGGTGTCCTGCAAGCAGGAGGAAAAATCAGAATTGCTGTTTCTTTTATTTTCAGATGCCGTAATTTTGATGCCACTGGAATTGATGTTTCTCTTATTTTCAGATGCCGTAATTTTGATGCCACTGGGGATGCGAATGCAGTAGATGTGTTTTTGAATGGTGAACAGAAGCATCTCCCTCGCCGTGGGTGGCATTTGTTGGCAAGCAGTGCTGGATGAATCCTTGTCATCCTGCAACAAAACTGGTGGTACATAGAGATGCAGAGCCTCTCAGGTGCTGGCCATGAACCCAGGCCTCTGGTGTTCAGAAATAACTGCTCTGTAGGCTTTGGGGCACTGCTGCAAGGTTATTTGGCTTCAGTGTTGCTATTATGCCTGTATAAGGACCAGTTGTCGTTCTAGGTAGAGAAGCTGAGCAATCACAACAGGAGGACCCCTGCTTTCTGACTGAGGCTCCCAGATCACACCTCAGCGCAACCTTAAACCCAGGACCTCGTTCATACAACAACACAGTGCCCTTGCCTTTACAGGTGGGGCTGCATCTTTTCACGACATACATCTTGTTTTTATCTGGCTCACCCTGCAGTTTTGGTTCCAAAAATAGGCGCTGTGGATGAATATGCACACACATGCGCTTCTCAGCTCTGTTACTCTTTTATAGATGACCTCCTTTACAGCAGTGATGAGCACCATGTAAGAACATTACTCATTCCTCCTGATAAAAGCCATAAGCAGGGAAAGGCATCCACATCTTCTATTCGGTCTCAAAGCATTGGTTGTAAATGTGTCCAGGTTTAAAAGACACCTTGATCGCTCAGGACAAGAGGATCTATGAAGAGTATTTGTGGTTGCTTGGGCTTCTGTTTCAGTACCTAGAAATTCAGGTCATGCCAAGCATAATTTAGCAGTAACTGCAGAAATAGCGGTGTTTTGACATTCAGAGAAGCCACACGAATGCCACTGATTTGAAAGGAATTTAATTGGAGTGGGAAAAGGCATGCACGTCCCAGACATCCCACACCTTCAGTTGCACTGGGAAAAATCAGAGCCCATACGTGGAGCCCTCAGGGAAGAACACTGCGTGAATGGGGAAGGGTGAGGATGAACATTTCTGCTGCTTCCTGATGTCAGCAGTAAGATGAACTTTGCATGCTGCACGGAAACACCCACCAGACACTGTCAGGGTGTGGGGACTGCGATCTCCTGCTGTATCCTGCAGCATTAAAACTTTCATGAATAACTCTGTATTTCGTAACTGGTTAGCCTTGACTTGCATGCAAGAAGAGTGAAACACTTTGTTTCACATGTGGCATCTGGCAAAACCGTGCATTTTACCTGTAGTCACTCCGTTTGATCACCAGAGCTGGCGGAAGCTGTCGCAGTCCCCAGTGTTACAGAGTCTTTTAAAGTGTCAGTGGGAGATTTTTTTTTGTGGTTCCATCCAACCAGGAAAACACAGAACAAAGTTAATTCAGAAGTGCAGTTGGTAGTTGCTGTCTGTAACATCTGGAAGATATTTGATATCTATAAAACATAACTGCAGATCTTGCAGAGTTACTCATGGTGCAATAATAATTTGATAAAACTCTGGCAACTGCTGTACATAGAGAGAGTTAAACGATACCTGGAGGGCCAGCGTGGGTTTTTTTCATGGCGTATCCACGCTGAACTTCTTCAGCTCAAGGTGAAAGGTGTCCTCGCTCTTCCACATTGAGACTCCCAGCAGTTCTTAGTGCTGAGTGTCTTTAGCTGATGGCCATTCTACCAATCCTGGGTACAGATATGTGCTGTCATCTTCTCTGCCTGCTGTGTGTGCAGGCTTTAGAGTTTTGGAAACGTGATTAAATTGTAACTGAGGTAAGGCAAAATTTTCAGGGAGTCTGAGGTTTAAAGGCACCGAGTCCTGTTCTGAGGGTGCAGGGTCAAATGCCAGTGGTACTTTAAAATGTCAGTTTGTGAACCAACCAGAAGCTGTAAGGAAAGGGAGAAGTCTCAGGGGGTCTGCCCTTCAAGGATAAGGGCTGTGCTTGAGCATGTGCCTCAGAAGAAGCAGATGAGTTGGAGAGAAACCCGTAGATTGCTCCAGATGGGATGGTGGCTGTGGGACTGCAGGGCAGGTCTCCATAGTGGTTTTCTCACATCTTTGCCAAGTGTTCAGCCAGTTCCCTCTTGCACTTTCCTGTGAGTTTAACCAGTTTTACCTGTCCTCTAGCTTGTTTTTCCGTGGGTGTCTCTGGAGCGTGTGGCTTTGGATGAGGTCTCTGGAGGATTTCCTGTATGCACCTTCACTGGTGGTGACCAGACCTGACCCTCTGGCTCTGGCCTTTCTGCATAGGCTGCCTCTCCTCTGCTCCTCCACCGTTGGTTTGATTTTGCTTGGATTTCCCCCCGTGCAACAAAGCAGCTTCCCTTTGTGGTCAGGAGTGCACTGAACCCTGTATTATTGAGTCATTTTGAGTTAATTCTGGGGAGAACATGGTTTAAGCTGCCCCAGACTTTCTTCCTATTCATCTTCAAATTAGGCTAGCTGGTGTTCTTGCACAGGTAGCTGGTATTTTTCAGCAAAAGGCTTGCCTGTCCCACCCCTCCTCATTCCCCATGCTTATAGTAGAAGTTGAATCCGCTTTAAGGTCATGTTCAAAATGCTGTGGTCCTGCCCAGACCCATCCTGGAGTTCTCTGCCCACTGTAATGCTGCTTTTCTTTCTTTTTGTTTCCTAATTCTTTTAAGGAAAGTGCAAAAAGCGAGGAGATGGCTTGAAACTGGAAAATGACCCTCAGGAGGTGAGTCACCGTGAGTGCTGATGTCTGCCTCTTAGCAGGAGGCCTGTAGTCCACCTTGGGTCCATGGAGAGTAAGGTCTATATTTGTTTCTGCTTCAAGGCTGGCCCGTCAGGCAGATGAGGATCAATGTGACCCCTGATGCTCTTCGCTCTTTTGTCTGTGCATTTTATCCCTGTTCCTGCCCTCACCTCAACTTTCCTGCTGTTTCCCATTCTGTCTTTCGGGAAAGACTGCGCCCCAGATGTTTACTGGGGAGCTTTGTACCTCTGTCAGTGGCAGAAGATCCTTTTGTCATGGATTTCTTGTGAGACCCGAAGAAGTCACTCAGTGCCATGTTCTCTGGCTGCTCCTTAAAACTGGGCTAACAGTTACCTTTGAAATGTAGAGGAAGGGGCAATAGCAGTGCTATGGAGCAAGCTGTAAAGGTGAACAGAGTGGCTTTCGCAGGGCTCTTGCACCAATGTGTGCTTTTGATCTACAGCAGAAGATCCAAGTGCCCTATGGAAGACGTGCTGCCGCTTTCCCCAGGCTGCATTTGGGCTGCCAGTGCTCTTCCAGGCACCTGTTTCACAATATGTACTATTTTATCCTCAAGAAAAATGCAGTTTAAAGGCTCATAAAGAGCTTTATTGCTCCTGTTCATGTGTCAGTGCCCTTTGGAGCTCGGTGCATGGGTAGCGTGCAGGTACTCGCTCAATAACCACCTTGTTGAAACTGATGGGAAGGGCAGCATCGCTGGTAGGCAGATCTCTGTAAGAACAGATATCACATCTGCTTCTTCCTTCACAAACGTGGGTGCGTTTTCCACTCTTGGCAAATGAGTGAGAATTGTTCCACAGGCACCAACTCCAGCAGGAGCCTTGGAGGCTGAGCTGTGACCAGCACTGTACTTTGTATGCGGAGTCCAGTGATGAAAAGCAGATCAGGTATTAATAAATACCTTCAGCCCTGCATGGGAGGAACTCAGTAGAAGTTGCACCCTGGCTTTACACACCAGATGCGTTCAAAGTACAGTCAATATCTGGGTTGGCAAAGAGGTGGAATGGGAGCTGTGTCCTCTGTCCTCCATCCTGTAGCTTACGTGGAGTTATCTTCTCAACGCAGGATTTGGGGGCACAGGGGAAAGAGGAGGGAGTAGGTTTTAGCATTTGCTGCCAGCCATGGTTATTTCAGAGGCTCTCGGGTGCTTCACATCCCACTCCTCTGGGCAATGGAAGCTGTGACCCACCAGGTATCTATCTTAAATGATGGCGATGTGAAATCCATGGATATTGCTTGCACTTACTTTAGAAAGTTTGTTCAGCACTGTATCAGCTGTATTCTGTACAAACTTGCAGTTGAATCACGTTATTTACTGCGCTTCTTTGCCTTTATTTCCTCAGGCAGAGTCAGAAATGGCTCTGGACGCAGAGTTCCTGGATGTCTATAAGAACTGCAATGGCGTAGTGATGATGTTTGACATCACCAAACAGTGGTAAGACATCTTCAGCAGCACACACCACACGATGCTCGCTTGTTGAGTGCAAACAAATGACTTCTAGACCTCCTGATTCCCAGGTGGACTCTGAAGCTGATAACCAGCCTAATGAGTTGAAGCAAGCTTGTATCCCTTAAAATAGCAGCTTTATCTCCTGACATGTCTTCTAATATACTCCTCTCCTGGGCTTGTTTCAAACAAGCAGCCTCCCCGTGGGCTTGTGTGCTGCAGTTTGTGTTACGCTGCTGTCTGAGCCTGGGTAATTAGTGCCATCACAGGTGCAAAGTGTGCTGGGCACGTTACAAACGGCTGCTCTGCAGAACACCACGGAAAGGGAAATGCTAGGGAGAAATTCCCAGGAAGGCTGGTATTAATAAGGATTATTTAGAGGCCCTAGGCTGCATTAACGTACGGAAATAATGAACTGTTCATTTTGCACATCTGCTGATGCTGAGGGACATATGGAAACGTGAGTGGAAAGCGGAGGTGGTAGGAGTTCCTGCTTTACATTTAAGCATGTGTTGTACAGGGTTGGTGCGGGTCAGGGAGCCTGTGGGCAGCTGAAGGGAAGGAATCCTTTTCTTCTGCTGACCCCACACCATTCTGTAGGACTGCGTTTGATACTGGTGTAGGAGATGTGAGAACGCTGATGGAAGTGGGGTATTGAACTTGCCATGTTGTTTTTGAATAAAGAATGATACCAACATATCTACAGTGAATGCATTTCTCTGAGGGGGGGCAAAGAAGCCACAGTTTTGGAAGGATTTTGGAAAAAAACCTCTTACTTTGGTTTCATGGGGTTTTCTTCTGTGCTTTGTGCTTGAAACTGCTCGCAGAACGATGTTGCCCACTCACCTGCCTTTATCTCTCTCTCCTATGGTGAAGGACGTTTAACTACATTCTGAGGGAGCTTCCTAAAGTGCCGACCCACGTTCCAGTGTGCGTGCTTGGGAATTACCGAGACATGGGGGAGCACCGGGTCATTCTGCCTGGCGACGTGCGGGACTTCATCGACAATCTAAACAGGTAGGCTGGCACCATGGCAGGGGAGCAGAGCTCGGCCGCTCGCTGTCATCAGCCGTAGATAACCGTATTGCTGCCGTGTTTCAGAGGCACATCACCTTCATCCTCCAACCCTGTGCCTGGCTTTTGGGCTTTTATAGCTCCGAGTGTCTCACACAGCAGCTCCAGTTGACACGATGGGTGCTTTGATCTAGGAGCCAGTGCTGGGCAGGTTGTTAGCTGGGTTCCTGGAAGCAGTGCCTGATCGCATGTCCCTTTCAGCAGCACTTTTCCCAAGAAGTCATCTTTTTTTCTGGATGGTCCTTCTCTTGTGAAAGGATCCTCTCCCTGCAGCATAAGTGTTCTCTACGCCAAGTAATTCTGCGACAAGAGAGCCAGCCTGTGCAGCTGTCTTCCTTGCTTTGCCTCTGAGCATTCCCACGCAGCATTTACTGGGCACAGCCAAGTCATACACCTCCCTCACCAGCCAGGCAAGATTTCCCCTTATGCAGAGATCTGAGGCTCTCTGGTATTTAGCATTAAACATTATTTGTTGTTCAGAATTCAGTAAATTGTACCTTTTTGTGTGGTTTCATGTTTTTAAGGCATTTTTTCATTTCCCTGCCTCTTATCTGTGCCTTTGTCAGGCACACAGAAATGGTATCGGTTTTAGTTATTGATTCTGTAATGTAATAATTTCTTTACGTGTTCATCTCTCTATGTGACTTAGCTGAGTTTAATGCCCACTGCTGGCTTGTGACTTAATACGGGTCTGTTTGGGGTTTTAAAACAAGACCAGTGAGGAAACAACAGCTTGTACAGCTGTGAAACCCCCAGTTTAGTAAACCCAGTGCCCTGCCTTAGTGTTTCTCAGTCTGGCAGCCCCACAGCACTGCAGCATAACAGCACCCATGTTCTGCCACCCTTCAGGAGCACCAAAGTGTGACAAGTCCCTGGCAGAATGACCTGCTGGCCTACATTTGGGGATCGAGGGGCTGGCGTGTAAATGAGGGCAACTCATGGTTTGTAGCTCAGCATTTGCCTCTTCTGTGCATGCAATCCGTGTCCTCTGAGCAGTTGTCTCCTCTCTCCCTCTCTGCTCGAGACAGGCCTCCTGGCTCCTCATATTTTCGCTATGCTGAGTCTTCCATGAAGAACAGCTTTGGCCTCAAGTACCTGCACAAGTTCTTCAACATCCCTTTCTTGCAGCTGCAGGTAAGAGAGAGGCAATTCCCTGATGTGCTGAGGGGGGTGGGACAGATTTCATTTCCTGCCCAAATTTGGGATTTGGGGTTTCCTTTGTTGTGTTAAAGGACCCTGAGTAGATTTTTGTTTTCATGAGAGCTGTTAACACAATTCTGTTGATGCATTGGTGCCTGTGACTCAAAGATGACTCTGCTTGCGAGAGGATGCTTCTCTGCTGCGTTGGCAAATGCTTCCCTCTGGAGAAAGGCTCCAAGGTGATGAGTAACACTGGCAAGAGAATTGCATCCAGTGGTGTAGTTAGGTTGTCAAAATTGTTACATGCCCACATTTGTTCAACTTTGTATTTAAATGCTGATCAATTAAAACTCAGACGAGATTTGGTCATGAACTGAATAATTCAGGGACAACTTTTTGCTGAAAGCCTTTGCCCTAATGGTAACTGATCTGCTTGGATCCTATGCACATCGATCCAAGTCTCATATTTCCCTCATAAGTGAGGCTTCTTTGGTGGACTGAGTGGAAAAGCAAAGGCTGGGTAGGTACAGAAGGGTGAAATTCTCAGCTGTGGTCCTTTAGAAGAGGACCTTTTGGGGTAACTTGTATGATCCTTTGGGTTCAACATCATCATATGCTTTTTGGGGGTACATAGGATGTTGTTCTCTTTTGAATGGGAAAAAAAAATGGCAGTTGATTGTATTTCACCAATAATTGACATTTCTGCATGTATTTTCATACAAATAATCCCCACTGAGATGCTGGCTCAGAAAATGCTCAGATGTATTAGTGGATGTTTGCAGGATAAGAAAATTGAATGTGTAAAAACCCAATGAAACCAATCAAACAAGAAATTTTCGAAGAGGAAGACATAGAAATTTGAGACACAAACCCAACTCGCTGCTTGGTAGAGAAGATTGGACTCTACCCACATGGTTAGATGGCTGGTTAAATGTTTGGGTTTATAACCTCAGCTCCCATGGTGAAGTGATGTCTTGTGGAAACCATGCAGAATAATTAGATCTCAGGTTAGTTTTGTAGCTCTCTCCTTTTTTTCTCAAATAAATATTAGTAAGAGACAAAGCCTTCCTGCCAGATTTGTTTCTGAAAGCTGCTTATAATGATACCATTAATAGTATATACAATGATTTTCCTAGCAATAGTCATAAGCAGGAAATACCCAAGCATTTGTAGTGTTGGGTTTGCTTGGAAGCAGCCTTAGGATGGGAGTTGTAGAGGACCTTGCATTTAAAAGTGCTGTGTATAAGTAAACATGATCTATTAATTCAAGACTGGAAGCAATCAGGGCACTTAGATAAGGGCCCCAAAGCCAGCGAACTTCTTGGACAAGTCTTGGTCTTCAGGAAAATAGAAGAAAATAAAGCTGATAGAGCTTTTAGCAGTTTGGAGGGTCCAGTGATGGTTGCTTAGGAGAGGTGAGGGAGATGGGGTGGCCAGCCCACATTTACTCCCATATTTAGTGGCCTGGGGGTAGTCCAAATGGTGCAGGTGCCACATAATTACACTCCCAAATCCTGTGTTTTTGCTGGAATGTAATTCAGTCATTCAACACTGCAGAAAGAAGCCTGAAAAGACTTCCTATTACAGTCTAGTTCCCAAAATGTGCAAGGGGAGATTTGGGTGGGCACTTGCAAACTGTGCTTGTCAATAGGTCTGCTCTGTTCTTGGTACCTCAACGCAGGAGGTGGCAGCTGAGGGAGGTTGTCCCGTGCCTGCCATGCAGAGGGAGCGCTCAGACCAGAGCTGCCTGGCTTTACCTTGAAAACAGCAGTGCCATAACCAGTTCCTGCAGTTCTGTGCTCACACAGGCATTGCAGACGGGTGCTTTTCCGTGCATGTGGAAAAATAAATCACAGCATAGGATCCAATGTGGAGACGACTTCTGTCATATTGAAGAGAAGGCTGAGGGGAGACCTCATCACCACCTACAGCTGCCTCAAGGGAGGTTGTGGAGAGGTGGGTGCTGGGCTCTTCTCCCAGGTGATGGGGGATAGAACAAGGGGAAACGGCACCAAGCTGTGCCAAGGGAGGTTCAGGTCAGAGATAAGGAGGAAGTTCTTTACTGAGAGGGTCGTCAGAAGCTGAACCAAGCTGCCCAGGGAGGTGGTGGAGTCACCATCCCTGGATGTGTTTAAAGAGCGGGTAGACGAGGTACTTAGGGATATGGTTTAGGGGGTAGACAGGAGCGGTTGGACGTGATGAGCTCAGAGGGCTTTTCCAACCGAGCGATTCTGTGATTCTGTGATATTCCTCTGGTGTGCAGGAGATCCTTGGCCCTGCCATTCTGTGCCAAGCCAGCTGACAACTGCAAATTTGGAGGCTTTTGGTTGCTTCTTCCCAGGCTTTGGGGCTTTACTTGATGTCAGACTTCAGCTATGTGCTGCACTTCGTTTTCCCGGTGCTGCTTGCATTTACAACACAGGTTCACTGGAGGAGCTTCGCGCTGCGCCGCAGCGACTGCTGCTGGGTGGCTCTGGGCATTTTGCTGCTCCCAGCTTGCTCTGAGCGCACGGGGAGCCACGGCTGGCCCTGTGGGGCCTCATCGAGTGCAGCACAAGGCATTTAGCTCTGTAGGAAAGTCACACTGAATTCCTAAAGGTGCTGCTTACACCTCCAGAGAGACTTGCCAGTACCAGGCTCCAGAAAGGAGCCGTTTCCCTGGTATTTCGGTGCAAAGCAGGGTCACAGGAGAGGAACGCTACCAGGGATTAAATGCACGCATGGTTTCATCAGCCTCAGTCGACCTCCGAGGTTTCTCCGCGTTCCTCAGCCTTGGCCTCCCGCAGCTCCCGGGGTTGCTGAGCTGTACAGCAGGTCCCACGCTGTCCTTCGGCAGGGTTTGGAGCCGCACATTTCCACGTTCAGCTCACACTCGTGCATCTTTCATGAAGAAAGCAGCGGCTGAAATTCATACCCCCGGTACAGAGCACGTTCCCTCCAGCAGCCCGGGCTCTTCAATTATTGATCAGTTCCTTTCCGGGGCAAGGATGGCCAAAGCTGAGGACGCAGTTTAGCTGCAGGTATCGCTGGTGGCCCACATCCTGTGCAAATGTGCTCAGGTCAACAGGGCCTTCGGATGCGGCGCTGGAAGAAGACAAAATTCTGCAGACAGCTGGAAATGCCTTTTCCCAGGCAGTGGCGGTGAGCCACGGCGCTGGTCTGCAGCACATGATTTATTCCCTTCTTTTGGGTCACTGCTAAAAATAAGCTGGTTGGTTTAATATTTTAATACCAGCGTGGTAAAAGAGAAAAATTTCGGTTGTAAGGAGTTGGAAATCCGCTTTATTAGCGATGGATTTTTACAGGATGAACGTGCAGCTCTCTCTTAGGTAAACTTAAATACGTTCTTCGTATACTGCGATCTGTGGGAACCAAATTAAATACAGCTCTGCTATATATCTTGCTGCCAAAGCATGAGGACAAGCAAACCACTTGTTTAATAAAAGGCATTATCTGAGTGCCTGAGGTGAGCATCTCTGCTGTCTCTGTGGATTCACAAATTTGGTCAGCCTGTATTTCACTCATCTTGGGAAACTGAGGACAAAGAAGTAGGAAAATTGATCTTTTTGGCCCCGTTTTTACTTGCACCCTATGAATAACATGAAATTATTAAATCTAGTACTTCTAATTTTTTAAATTTCTTGAAGCTTGAAGTCTAAAATCTCGATGAGTGCTTCTGTTTAGTCCAGCAAGTTCAAATATGTACAGCGTGTCTTGCTGACATGTTGCCTGTGTACCACAATAAAGGGAGCTGGAGTTAACTAATGACTTCATAATTCTGTGTATACATGTTAATTGAAGTCAAGTTTCCATCTGCATCAAGCTTATGAATACGATTAATATAAATTACCTACCAAAGGAAATGTGGATCAGTCTAAGCTCTTAACACAACAACAGAGATAAAAATGAAGACTCTAAATGCCTTGGAAGCAGTAAATTAGCTTAAATGATCACAGAAGCTCTTAAATTTCAAGGAGGATTGTATCTTCCAGTGAATTAGCATGTTTAAAGGTTATCAACTACTATGAATCACCTGGTCTTATAAACATCAACAGTAAGAATCACTTAAACCTTGCTCGCTGATTTAAGTCATGGTAGGATTTGATATAAATCAGGCGGCTCCATGGAGGGCTGTGCTTTACATAAGCAGAAGAGCCGCTTGCTCTTTAAATCTTTATCGCTTTAAATCTGCAGTCACTTTCTTGATAGCTCCGAAATTATGTCCATGACACCGTATTGTCGGTAGCGTACGCACACAGACACCGAATGCCGCCGCTTTACCCGCGGTTGGCTTCCCATAGGGATTTTCTTCCGTAAATTATGTAGATCTCCTTTTGTGCTTTTTGCCCCAGGGGGATTTTTCTGCAGCGAGCACATGTGTTTTCAAACATGGAATTAAAAATTCACCCCAGTTACTGATGCCGTACTCCATAGTAGTAAACCTAAACCACGTTGATTTTTGAGGCAGTGGTAAAAGCAAAAACCTTTGCTGTTTGGAGGAAACCTGGGGTTTCTCTCCTGTCTGGGTGGTGGAGCAGCTTGGCAGCCCATGGCACCGGTGGACCCCGCTTTAGGGGGTGCTGTGTGTCACCAAATGTGTCCCAGCACGAGCTGCCCCTGCTCCCAGTGCCGTGCAGTGTGGGGCTGCTGGATCCACTGGGGGAGCCTGTGGAGCTGGCCCTGCCCGTGCAGTCTCAGCACAAAGTGTGTGGTTATTGATCACTTCTCGTTGCCATCCGGGCTGGCAGGAAGAGCGTCCCATCACCACTTGCAATTGATTTTGAGCCTTTTAAGCCAGCACTTCCCCTCAGCTGAGGTTTTTGCTTGGTTTCTGTTGGAAATGTAGGAAGGGAAGGACTGATTTACGCTACCCTGGTTTACATTAGTGAAGCCAACTCACACTGAAATGGGCTGAAGTGTCTGTCCCCCATCTGTGGGGCAGCAACTGAAGGCAGAGGGGCAGTGACTTTTAAAAATTCACAGTTAACAGGTTATGCTCCCTCATCTAACCCAGCAGTAAAGAGAAAATTACCGGGAGGTTTTGCATCGGCTGCGTCCCACTCACAGATGCACTTCTTTAGCACAGGGAAAAAGAAAAGATCAGAACGAATGGGTTGCACAACTGCTCTCCACAGGAGTTGAGTCTGTTCTCCAAATGCTACTGGCGTTGCCGTGTCTGAAAATCACATATTATTGATTTACACCCCACTGCAGCTCACAGAAAAGTTACTTTCTTACACGCGGACTTTTTGGATTAACGTTCTTTTGCTACTGCTTCTGCCTCCTTTTGTGCGTCTGTATTTAAACCGAACACAGTGAGAGGGACCAAAGCTCCTGTTTAATTCATTGCTGTGGGTAATGCGGTGACACAAGATCTCGCTGCGCCCTGTGAGCGCACAGAGCTCCGTTACAATGACCCTTCCTGCTCAGACCCAGCTTCTTTTCCTTTCTTCAGAGGGAGACGTTGCTACGGCAGCTGGAGACGAATCAGCTGGACATTGATGCAACCCTGGAGGAGCTGTCAGTGCAGCAAGAGACAGAAGATCAAAACTACGAACTGTATGTCATTGAGCCATCTTTCCTAACTGCTTGGTTGTGGTTTAGGTGTCACACGAACGTGGGGCAGCCCCACCGATGGCGTCTGGCCAAGCTGAAGGGTCCAGTGAGCGATGTTTAGGGTTTCTGTGGAGCTTGTAAAATGCCACTTCGAGGTGGCATTACCCACAGTAAAGCATGCACGTGGGGATCGCAGTGAAAGGGTCTGGTTCCTAGGGGCACGTGATCGCTGGGAGGGCAGGGGAGGTGGAGCTGAGCACGCCTGAACACAGCACATGCTGAAGGGATTGCAGAGGGGGGTGTTGCAGTCTCTGATGCTGGAAGGGGGTGTTTTCCATCTCTACTGCTCTGCACACAGGCTGGTTCCTCTTCTTCTGGCTATAGCATCCTGTGTCTTGTGACAGGCAGAAGGTAACAGCAACAGCGTTGTCTTTTGTTCCCTTTCAATACTTCTAGACTCATCAGTGCATCTCTGGTTTGAAATAGTGGCTAGTTCCTGCTGCCCTGTGTTTGTTCAGTGCCTTGTCTGTTTGCTTGCTGCTAGAAATGAGCATTTCCCAGATGTAGCCCTGCAAAGCCAGTACATCTGTAGCACAGGGAACAGGGATCTCTTCAGACTTGTTGACAAACGTGCTACGTGAATCCCCATCGCAGGGTCTTTATTGCAGCGATGTGCAAGCCAGAGGAGTCAACCCTGGAATGAATTTGAAATAGATTCCTTACAGGCTGCTTTATTTGGAAGTTGGTATCGATGATGATGAAATATTCATGCACAGCCATTTTGACAAGCAGTTTCAGACCGAGTTTCAAGTTCTGTAACCTTGGTCAGTGTGTTTTCCTTTGTGGGAGCATTGCAATACCCCCCACACATAAAGCAGTGCTGTTTCCAGAGTGTTCACCTCGTTCCTTTCCTTTGGGACTGATCAGTCTCCTCGTGCCTTCAGCTGTTTTCTTCACGTCTGTACTCAAAGGACTGGGCTGTGTGGGCTGTGCTGGCAGATTGTTTTCCAGTATTCTTGTTTATACTGCATCAGTAATGGAAGATACTCAAATGAATCAAGAGTCATCAGTAACGGAAGATGCTTAAATGAATCAAGAGTTGGCAGAACCGTTCCAAATTTACATCGGAAGGTCTTGCTACGTAGTCACCTCTCACACTTATTTAGCATTTTCTGGACCCTCACATGAGCCAATTCAGTTCACAAATCCAGCACTGCTGTATCTAATTCTGGGTTAATCTGTGTTGGGCTGGCATCTGCTCAGCACCAGAACTTAAAGGGTGCGACAGCAGCGTGGGGCTGGCAGAGGTGGGATGGCAAGAGCTCCTGGTTTCAGCAGGGGCTCATCCCATCCAGTGTAACCACACCAAGGTACACCATGGTATAATTCTGGTGTGCTTCTGCTGCAGCAGCACTGCGATTACCAAAGGCTTATCACTTCGTGGTGGCATCCACAATCCTAGGGCCACGCTGCTCTGGATGCTGCACACTGACGAGTGAAAGGGCACGTTCTTGCCTTGGCGAGCTCAGAGCAGGTTTTGGTGCAGTGGGTGGTGGCAAGCATCAGCTCAGTAGAAGCCCTGGAGTCATCTGCAGAAATGCCAAAGCCAGATACCCCTCTGACCCACGTGCCAGTGCCCTGTCGTTCTCCAAACTGGCTCTTGAGCACTTGAAGAACAGGAGATGGGGTAAGCACCTGAAGATGCCTATGGCCTGGCTGAGCAAAGCAGCTGCCTGCAAAGGACTGCTGCTGGGAGAGCTTGCACTGCGGGCTGCTAATTGCATCGTTAGTCTGCTTAATTGGCTTGACATGGCATGAGAAATACCTGCCACGGTACCTGGCAGAAGAGGAGTTGCTGAAGTTTTAAAAGCAAGGCTTTTTCCTAGGAGTCTGGTTTAGCAAATAAGCTGATGTTCTTATGTAGCTGGCCAGCTTCTGCTTTCTCTTCAGCCACTGTGTGTTCATGTCTGTGTGCTGGGAGCACTGCTCTTTGCTTTCACAAAATAATGCTTCTTCATAGAACGGTCCTTAAAATATCCCCGGATGCTTCCTGGCTTGAGGCACTGATCCCAAAAGAAAGGACTGGGCTGGGTCATGTCCGAGTACTTTGATCACACTGAAATGAAGTGCTATTTTAGGGTTTTGCAGTTTTTCTCAACACCCCAGGTAGAAACAAAGAGTCTGCTGGCTTCAACAGCACCTCTCCGAAACAGATGAACTGGGCAGGTTACTTCAGCCCCAGAGCTGAGAAGTATACTCTTCATGCATTCATTTTTTACCCCTGCAGGAGCTTTTCAGGCTCAAGTCCTTTAGCCTAAGTCCCGATTTAAAGAAATAACCACATGCAGGGATCCACAGGCAGGGAACTCGGGTGTGGGTGAAGTCCCAATTCTCCTGGTGACACAGAATCTGGGGGTGCAAGGACCGTGCAGGCTGGGAACTGGAGCTTGCCGTTGTGAGGCAGGTCTGCAGTGCTCACTGCTGGGGAAGGTCCTTGTGTCCGTGCTTCTCAGGTGCCCATCATTTTGGGATTATCCTGTTTAATGTGCTACTGCTGTGGATGTCAAAATGAGCACCTGGTGTGTTGTCCTCCCACACTCACCTTGTTAAACACAGCCTGCACGTTGGTGCAGTGGGACTTGTTGACCCATGGCAGATGTGAAGCCCTTGAGATGGTCGCTTTGATTTAAATAGGTTGGGGACTGAGCTGCTGGGGAGCAACACAGCAGAAAGGGACCTGGGAGTCCTGGTGGACAGCAGGATGCCCATGAGCCAGCAATGTGCTCTTGTGGCCAGGAAGACCATCGCCATCCTGGGCTGGATGAGAAGGGGTGGGTGTAGGGCAGAGAGGTTCTCCTGCCCCTCTGCTCTGCCCTGCTCACACCACAGCTGCAATCTTGTGTCCAGTGCTGGGCCCTCAGCTCCAGAAGGACAGGAACTGCTTGAAAGAGTCCAGCAGGGCCACAAAGATGCTGGAGGGAGTGGAGCATCTCCTGCTGAGGAGCGGCTGAGGGAGCTGGGGCTCTTGAGCTTGGAGCAGAGGAGCCTGAGGGGTGCCCTCATTCCTGGGGATCCATTGGGAAAGGGCAGTGTCAGGAGGAAGGAGCCAGGCTCTGCTCTGGGATGGCCAATGCCAGGACAAGGGGCAATGGTCCCAAGCTGGAGCACAGGAGGTTCAAGCTGAAGATGAGGCCAAAGTTTGTCAGTGTGAGGGTTATGGAGCATGGCCCAGGCTGCCCAGAGAGGTTGTGGAGTCTCCTTGTGTGGAGACACCCAAAGCCCTGGCCGTGTTCCTGTGTGACTGCTCTGGTGATCCTGCTCTGGCAGGAGTTGCACTGGGGGAGCTCCAGAGGGCTCTGACAGGTCCTGCCATGCTGGGATTCTGAGGACAGCACTTGGAGTTCTGCTGTCAGTCACCACAAATTGCACGACAAGGGGAGGTGTCCGCAGGCACTTGGGGCTGCAGACCACAGTGGGCTGCTGCAGCACCTCCTCCAAGGCGATTCCTGCTCTTCCGCCAAAAAAATCAGGCCAGGGAGCAAGGCAAGGTGACAGCACTAGGACACCTCGGTTATTTCCTTCACCCCTGTGCACGTCTGGTAGCTGCTCTGTCACAATGACCGATGCTAAATTTGGAGCAGGGAACAGAAAGAGCAGAAGAGCTCTTCCTCCTGCTGCGGCTGGGTACCTGAGGACGAAATGTCACAGCTCCAAAATGTGGATCCCAGAGAGGACACGAGGTGGCACACAACGCTGCCTCATCCGCCTTATGTAAGCCATCCCCTGCAGCCCTAGCGGGGAAGGCACAGTGAGACGCTTCCAGCTCTTTCCCAAAAGGGCTCAGTCTCCTCTGGCTGTGGCAATTCCCCGTGGTTTCTCATATTTTACGTTGTCAGTGATGCTAAAAACACATTTTACAGCTCTTTTTGAGCTCCCGAATTATTGTTAAACAAACAGCCATGGGTTTTTTTTTACTCTGTTCTGAATTTGTACTTAATTTGCTCGATTTTTTTCATCCTTGATTTTTGTTATGTTCAGTGTGCCTGTTCCCTCACTGAATGCTGAAATAAGATTTTGGGAAATTGTGGAATCTCTTCCTGCATATTCCTTTCTTTCAGGAATAAGCTGCTGGTGGAAACATTTGCAAAAGTGAATAAGATTTAATGTATGGTTTTCATGAGCTTTTTATCTTTGACTGCATTTTTTGAGATACTGTGTGATCCAAGCCACAGCTTCTGCTGCAGCAGGACCTGTCCCAGGTTTGGGTGCTGTCCCAGCGGTGCCATGCAGCTCTCCTCTGCCTTGTCAGGGATAACCCGGTGCTGCTGTGCAGGTAGGGAAGATCATAGCATCCTAGAGTCATTTAGGTTGGAAAAGACCTTTAAGATCATCAGATCCAGCCATAAACCTGGCACTGCCAAGTCCATCACTAAACCATGTCCCTAAGTCTGCCCATCTTTTTAACACCTCCAAGAACGGGGACTCAGCCACTGCCCTGAGCAGCCCCTTCCAGTGCCTGACAGCTCTTTTGGTGAAGAAATTTTTCCTAATATTCAATCTAAACCTCCCGTGGCACAACTTGAGGCCATTTCCTCTCATCCTGTGGATGAAGGACCAGTGGCTGCAGGAAGCCATTTGCTCTCTGCCGATGAGGACTCTTTTGGGAGACACACTCCCTGGCTTAGACCACTTTATTCACTACAGAGTCATTGCTCGGGTTTGGGGGTTTTATTTGCCCGTTTGTTTTTTCCACATTAAGCTCAACTCCTAATTTTACACAGCCTGTGGTGCTGAGTAACACCAGTGCTGCCAGGCAGGAGCTGCTGGAGCTGCTCTGTTATTTTAAGCCATAAGGAAGTACAGGTCCGGGGTCACACCGCCTAAAGGCTGAATTACCAATTAGGAAAGTAAAACCACTTCTGCTTTCTCTTCCCCTTGCCCCACCTTTATCATTTCTGCTTGCTGTGAATCTCTGGTGCCATCAGACAAAGCAGGAGCCCATCCTGCCCAGGCCTTGCAGACTGCTTGGCCATTGACCCCAGGGGCCTGGGCTGAGGGGGGGGGCATCAGGTTCAGTGCCTTTAATGAGCCCAAAACAAACCTGTGGAAAAATAACCCTCAGTAACCCCAATTAAACTGATGTCACACGGCCCCTTAATCTTCGTTTTCACAATTAATAAAATAACCCAAAGCCTTTCTTGCCATTTGAAATACGCTTGAAAAATTGATCACAGCACGTTAGAACCAGGAGCCAAAAAAGCTTCAGGCTGCTCCCGTCTTCAGTAGTAAATGAATGTGAACGCTGACAATGTTAGGAGCTGTAAGGCTAACAAGTCCTTTTGTGCTCTTCTTGTTTGCTCTGGGAGCAGAGCAACAGTATCCTCAGGCCCTGGTAAATTTTTGTTCCCGCAGAGCATGTTCATCTTTAAAATTGCATCAAAGCCTCCTCTTGCGAGCAGGTCCAAGCGGCAGTGAATTATTCAGGGGTTTGGAGGATGCGGACTTGTTACTCGGTCTGAAATGGAAAGGCAAATGAGGAGCCTGCGTGGGGGAGGCCAGATAGCCCATTTGGACCTGCATGGCACGTTTGCTGCCTCTAAATCCCAGTGAACAAGTGTGCTCAGGCCGCAGCGTGAGTTCACCTTGTGCTTTAACAGGACCTGGTCTGCTACCCGTGGTGCAGGCACAAAGCTGCTTGTTTCACAGTAAGATTTTGAGCGAGTCCTTTTGCGAAGGGCTGGCAAAAATGATGGAACAAGGAACGCAGCGGCCAGATTGCATAGAATATGAGGAAAAAAAGCAGACACATGGCAGGTTTGGCCCGGTGTGTTCCCAAAACAGGAGTGTGTGTAAAGCCAGAGAAAGCACTCATGCATTATGTAGTATTTTTGAAGTGTGGAGGACGCTTGGACACCTCCACGCTGGAAATGACTGCGAGCTCGCTGGCAGCGTTTTCGTGTGTGCTGTTTTTCCACCCACCCTCTTTCACGGAAGAAGATGGGAATAGGAAAGCTCGGCAGAGCCGCTTTATGCAGCCCGTGTCAAACCGCTCTCGGACCATCCTGATTTCCCCGCTGCCGCGGCACGCAGCGCAGAGCTTGGCCCACGTGTCTGCTTGGGGATGGGGAAGGTGACACAAAGCACACGTGCTCTCCTTGGGGCTGTGCCGGGGTGAGAGCCGGTGTGGTGCTGTCCCCAAATAACCACTGTGTCTTTCTACTAAAAATAACCGACTGCCTCTTGTTCTTATGCCCTTCACACAATGTAGGTGAGCACAGGTGCAGAAGAAGCCTGCATGGGTGTTACTTTCCAGACTGGCTGAGCTGGAGGGAAGGCTGACGCTCTGGATACTTCAATTATGGAGCATTTTCTCCCTCCAGCTCTTAAAATCCCTGTGTTTCTGCAGGAGAAACAGGTGGCAGTGGCAGCCCTCCCTCCCTTTGGAGCTGGCTACGTGCCTGGAACAAAGCAGGTTGTTTCCAAAATGGGCAGCTTCGGTAGTACAAAATACAGTACATCTTCAAATACCTTGGTATTGTAAAGGGTGTCTTGCATTTTGTTGGGTCCAGCTTGAAGTACTCTGAGCTTCATATTCTGTAGCCTAAAATGTCAAATATGTACCTTGTGTGTACTTCCTATGGGATCTTTCTTCCTTAGTCTTCAGTGTACGGTCGTCTGACCCTGCCTGAGTCACCCCATGGCCTTGATGGTGGGATCCAGCATCCTGATGAGAGACTCAGGGCTTGTTTAGCTCTGTTTCTGTGTAGTGCTGGCAATTTGAGGACTCACATAGGCAGGCAGAGAGCTCAGCTCAGCCAGGAGAGCGAGCGGTGCTGGCGTCAGCATCTTGGACCAAGCTCGCCGGCCCTCCTGCCAGGGTTGCTGTTGCTACAAACAGGATCAGGGGTGCATGTAGATCAGCTGGGATTAATCTCCCTTCGCATTTAGGAGGCAGGAGTCTTTAACCCTGAACAGGGCTTGGGAGGTGGAGGAATCGGTACCACAAAGCAGAGGAATTCAGCCCTTGGCACTCCTGGCGTGGATCTGCAGAGCCACACGTCCTGTGCAGGCCGGTCTCAGGGGTGGGTTTTCAGCCACAGCAATTCACATGGCTTTGTGGATTCCAAGCATTTCTTTGTTGGACTAGGGCTGAATCGCAGGTACCCTTCGTTTATCTTCCCCTCACCGCAGAGGCCGTGCGTAGTCAGCCTCGAGGGATGCTGAACGAGGGTGAGCCCTCCGCAAGAAAGGAGCGATGTGCCATTGCAACTCAGTGACAGAGATGCACTGAAAATACACCGTTAATTCTTGTGCACCTTCCAGACAAACCCCATGCAGTCTCCACAGAGCTCGGTGCAAGAGTTCAGCTCCTTTATGTTTCCTCTTTGATGCACGACGAATCACGCATCATTCTCAGTGCAGCGTGCATGGCTCACCCCAGCTACTGGTCCCCTGGGAGTGAGGATGCTGGAGCGGATGCTTCATCCTGTGCTCTGATCTCAGCTCTGCTGGGAGCTTGTTTTGCTGTAGCCAGTCTGCTGGGGGGGATGAGCACTTAAGCCTTGCCCCAGGTCCTGGTGGAAGCGTCGGTGAGGCCACCACAGCGTGGCACTGATCTGGGTCTCGGGGATAGGCAGGGATGGCTGTGTGACGGCCAGGTCCTTTGCTGCCGCTCCCAGGCCTCGTGGCGATGGCAGCCTTTAGTCAGGCCTTCATGGAATGGGTGAGGAGAGGGGTGAACTTGGAGCAATACTTGTTTCCTAGCCCCCGAGCAGCTATTTCCTTCGTACCGCTGAATTTCTTCCCGTTTTTGTTATTCAGGATCATCCAGTTATTTCCGTACGTTGTCCCTGTCCTCCTCTCTGTTGATGCGGTAACCTCACGGGCATTTCCCTGGTCTCTTCTCATTTCCATGAAATGCTGAAATATATCTCAAGGCTAATCCTTGAGGAACTCTACCAAAGATTTCTCTCTACTTAATGCTGCTCTGTCCTAGCCTTTATCTCCATTTAGCCAGCTCAGTTAGGAGGGACTGGTTTTCCAGTAACAACTTCCCGGGGTTGTTCTTTGGAGCTCCAGACAGTGCTGGTCACAAAGTATATTGGTTTACTCCTTAAAAGTATATCAGGCCGGTCCTTATAATAGGAAATGGTATCTCAAGGGGGTTTAGAGTCTTTCTGTTCCCTTTCTGCTCGGCAGTCGTTCAGGGAAGGCGTGCGGCTGGCTCGAGTCCCTGAAGGACGAGGTCGTGCTCCGTGTGGGAGAGGAGTCCCTGTGTTGATCCAGTGGTTGCCTGGAGCTCAGCGAGTCTTGCGGAAGCAGCAAACGAGTTCATTAAGCTTAATGAAACAAGAGACAAGGCCATGGTGTGCTAGGGTTTCTACGTGGTACTTCGCTGTGGGTAAAGCATCTCTGTGTATCTCAGATGTGCCGCATGTAGCAGTTCTTCTTTTGAGACCGCTTCATAGCAAAAGCCTGGCTTTCTGTGAGTGTTTCTGTGCAGCCAGCTTGTGAAAAGGCTGCAGGAGGATCAGCCTTGGTTTCCTTTTGGAAAAGGATGAAGCGTTTCGCCCTCTCTAGCGGCACAGGCTTTATTGCTCTTCTAGTCAGGAATCCAGCCAGGACCACGACTTGCTTCAGAGCTGCTGCTGCTTGGCTCCGCTGCCTCCCACGCAGAGCAGGAGTGTGTGCTGGGGGAGAGACCGCCTGTACATCTGCACATCGCGAGGATGATTGCAGTCAGTCCTCTGCAAGCCCTCTGGATAGCTCTTTTCTTTCAATGTTTAAGGATTCTCCTCTCAAATCCATTCTTGGCTGAAAGAAGTTGTTTTTATAGCATTTGAGTCTTCTCGAACGCTCCAATCTCTTCTGCAGAATCTAAAATTGTGCCATTCCTGTAGCACTTACTCCCTTAGAGACATATGTCCAGGAACTGACTTAAGGTTGTGTTTCAGGCCCTGGCACGTTGTTACAGTTTGTGTATCCAGGGAGTTCCCAGCAGCGTTGCAAATGTAGGTTCCTCCTGCAGTGCAGAGCAGGTTGGGATTCTCCGCAGATCGGGTGAGTTTAGCTCATGTGGGTGAACCACATTTATTGTGGAGACTTGCAGCATCACCGAAAGCAAACCCGTGCCCTCCCAGCTCAGCACATAGCCAAAGCAGGCCAGCATCGTGCTTGGTGCTCTGTTGAGCGTGTTTTCTCCATGCCTTATATTTGCAATTTATCTTCCCTGCAGCTTCCTTGAGATGATGGAAGCCCGAAGTCGAGGACACACATCACCACTAACAACTAACGGGCAAAGCCCTTCCTCTGGCTCCCAGTCACCCATAGTACCTCCAAGCTCCACGTCGACGGGCAGCTCCAGCCCCGGCACCCCACAGCTGCCGCAGCCGCTTTCCACGAGCTCCACCGTCTCTCCTGAACCGCCCCCATCTTTTTCACCAGTGCCTGCACCCGAGGCCCAGCAGCCGCACACATCTCCTCCAGCTACAGCCTCCCCAGCACCTCCGGCTGCCGTCCCACCACCCAAGCGCAGCATCATTTCACGTCTGTTTGGGACGTCTCCTGCGTCAGAGCCCTCTCCTCCCCAGCCAGGTAGGTGCTGGGGTGCAGTGTCTAGGCATTTTTATCCTGTTTTTCATTTTTATCCTGCGAGATGCTGAGCAGGTAAGTGTCTGAAGAGCACAGGCCCTGCGTGTGCTGGACATGTCCAAGGAGAGCTGCGCTGTCGCTCTGTTCGATTCTCGATGGGCGTTTTGGTTTGTCTCTGTGCTGGGTTTGGATGAGGACTGTGTCCAGGGTGATGGCTGTAGCATGCGTCAGGAGGAAGGCACTGAACACACAGGGGACACTAATGAAATAACCGTCAGCTTCTTACCAGGAGCACATATGTCACTTGAATAGCCAGAGAAATTGTTCAAGAAGCTATTTGGACCTCTGTCTTCACAGAAGTCTGGCGGCTCCAAGGGGCTTCTGTGTGTTAATAGAGAGCAGCGGAGTGCTGGTTTTAAAGGTTACTCAGCCAGAAATGATCGTGTAAGTGCGGGCTCTGCAGCGGATTCCCCTCCAGGGAAATATTCTCCATCCGAGATGGTCTGAGGAGGAGGGCAGCCCGCCGTGACTTCCTCCGCAGCGCTGGCACACAATGGAGCAGAGCAGCGCAGCGCTCGGCCCAAACCCCTGCCGGACGCAGTCGTAGGGCAGAAGCATCGAGGGTTTTGTTGTGTGTACTTTTACCGATCTGGACCTTCGTTTGCCTGTCACATTCACTTTGTTTTCAAAGCTAACTGGAGCTGCAGAGCTGGCGCTGCCTAAAAATTATTAGCATGGCATGGTTTGAATCACCCTTTGGAAATACCTTCCCTCTCAAACTGTCAATCCCTGGAGCTCGCAGTCCTCTCGAGACACCCACAGAAAGAAAGGAGGAGGTGCTGGGAACACGGTTTGCGGTTTCAGATGTTGAAATCTCTCCGTTTTAGATCTGCACACAATGTTCTGTCTCCTGAATCTGTTACCAGGTGTGACACAGGACACCCATTTCAGGTTGCTGGTGACTCTTCCTACCCAGACACAAACAAAGAGGAGTAAATATTAGAAATCCCTTGTCAATTAAAAACCCTTTGTCATATTGATATGCAGAAAAAAGACAAGTGTTCTGCTCTCAATGTTGCAGTCCTTGGGATTTGCTTTTTTTTTCCCCATTTTCTTCATTTTTTTTTAAAATCTGTCACTTAGGAAACTGGCTTAGGCTTTTGGATTGCAGTCCTGGTATCTCAAGGGTGTTTTTTAGGAGGGTTGCTAAAGGCTGCCAGGAAGCGCTGCGCCGTCAGTGTTATTAGGTTTATGTGGCGTGCCAGGGGTCTGCACCTCTACTGGAACATACCTAGGGAGTAGCTAATTGGAAAGCAGCTGAACAAATCACTGTCACAAGATAATACGTGGGTTTTTTTATGGGAAATGCTATTTAAGCTTTCCTTTGAAGTCTTGCAGTAGTAATTCTTTTGGCTGTGTTTTATTCTTACACCGATGCTACTCTAGGGCATTAGTAATAGTGTTATCTGTATGCAAAAGTGATCTGAAAGCTCTGCTAGTAGAGCAAAATCTAGAAAATATATCCAGATCTTGTTCACCAAAGAAAAAAAAGAGCCTAGATGTGAAGTGCAGTCTGGACAGAAGAAAAAGGTTGAGTATTGTAAATTCTGAAAACCTGAATTGCTTTATTCTTCTCGGTTATGCTAATTTAATGAGTTTTTAATCCTGACACCTTGGAGACAGGTAAAGGTGTCTCTGCAAATAAGCTGTATTAAAGTGAGTCCCTGTTTGCGGTGGCTCTTACACAGGGCATCTGAAAGCACAGCGTGAACAGTCCTGCCTGTGATAGTTACAGTCGAAAAAGCAAGAGGGAGGTGAGTGGGTGAGCTGAACAGTTTGGGAAAGGCAAGAGGACGATGAGGGGACGTCGCGCAGGAGCAGTGCACGCAGCACGGGTATAAAAGCTGGCTGTGGTGTGGTCAGTCGTGGTGTTCACTGCAGAGCAGAGTCGGCCGCTGGAGAGGTTTTCAGACTGTTTGAGAGCCTGGTGCCTCTTAAACCACAGCGGCCGTGTGTGGTCTGTGAGTGCCTTCATGCAGGAGTCTGGACTGGTCTGAGTGTCCTGCTGATCTCCTTCCTCATCCCGTGCTGTGCAGCTGAGGTCCTGCTGCGTGGCTGCTGTCTGTGCTGAAGAGGCCCTGGGCAGGATAGATCTGTAAAAAGCAAATTTCTGTCTCGCTTGTGGTAAACCCTGTGTTTTACAACTGCTGTTGCTACCGCAGATGCTGCTGCTGCCACTCCTCCTCCCCACCCTGGAGCACCTGCGAAAGTACAGAGCGTGGAGGACTTTGTTCCCGATGACAGCCTGGACCACAGCTTTCTAGAAGAGCCAGCCCCTCAGAAGGACAAAGGGAAAGCGCAGACCAAACACCGTGTGGACAGTGAAAGGTAAGGAAAGGAGGATGGAGAGAGGGGGAGAAAGGGATCACAGAATCCCAGAACGTTAGGGATTGGAAGGGACCTCAAAAGCTCATCCAGTCCAATCCCCCTGCCGGAGCAGGAACACCCAGATGAGGTTACACAGGAAGGCGTCCAGGCGGGTTTTGAATGTCTGCAGAGAAGGAGACTCCACAACCTCTCTGGGCAGCCTGGGCCAGTGCTCTGTCACCCTCACTGAGAAGAAGTTTCTTCTCAAATTTAAGTGGAACCTCCTGTGTTCCAGCTTGTGTCCGTTACCCCTTGTCCTATCATTGTTTGTCACCGAGAAGAGCCTGGCTCCATCCTCGTGACACTCACCCTTTATATATTTATAAACATTAATGAGGATGTATCTGGATGATGCGGCACAGAATTACAGAATCATTTAGGTCCAACCATTAACCTAACGCTACCAGCTCCACCACAGTACCACAGCTTTAAATCCCTCCAGGGATGGTGACTCCACCACTTCCCTGGGCAGCCCGTTCCAATGCTTGACATTGAGCCAGGTCTCGCTAACCTGTTGCAACTGTTCAGAAGGGGATTGCAGAGCAGTTAGCTGGCCCTAAGCCTTTCTGGCTGTGGTAGTCATCCATAGCGTTCACTCTCTCCCATTTAATGATACACCCGGGGAATGAGGAACAGCAGTATGAGATATGAGTATGAGCAGAATGAGATAACTGCAAGTTATTACCTTTCTGGCTTTGCTGTCTTGCTTTCATGCTCGCTGTTAAACCCGTGGCTTGCCTTGGGTGAGGAAGGGCCAAATGTGCTGAAACATTTGAGATGTTTTCCTTCTGGAGCACAGCGCACTTTGCATGGATGTTATGTTTTGCCTAATGAATACCTTCCCTCTGCAGAGGCCCAAATCATGGCCAGGCTCTTGTGGCTTGGTCCTGCCATTCCTGAGGCATTATAGAGGTGTTTGTGTTTGTTGGAGAGCACCTGGTGCTCTTCGTGGCTCAATGGGATTCTGGAAGGGAGGACAGAGAGGGTCATGCTCCCCTGGGAGCGTCACTGCATGCTGGCCTGCAGGTTCCAGAAAAGTCAGGGTTGGGGGAAAGGGCTTTCTTCTTCTCTGTCCATTGTTAATGTTCCTTCCCAGCATTTTCTCTCTTAAATTGGAGAGATAGGGATTTGATGTATGAAATGTTCAGTGGGTAGGGAGTTGGCTGGATGGCTGCATGCAGAGAGTGGTGGTCAACGACTTAATGTCTGGATGGAAGTCAGTGATGAGTGGTGTCCCTCAGGAGTCATTACTGGGACCAGAACTGTTTAATATCTTCACCAGTGACACAGACAGCAGGGTTGAGTGCAGCCTCGGCAAGGTTGCAGACAACACCAAGCTGGGTGGTGTGGTTGACACGCCTGAGGGATGGGATGCCATCCAGAGGGACCTGGACAAGATCAAGAAGTGGGTCCATGTGAACCTCATGAGGTTCAAAAAGGCCAAGTGCATGGTCCTGTACCTGGGTCAGGGCACCCCCCGGTATCAATACAGGCTGGGGGATGAAGGGGATGGAGAGCAGCCCTGCAAGGAAGGACTTGGGAGCACTGGTGGATGAAAAGCTGGGCATGAGCCAGCAATGGGTGCTCACAGCCCAGAAGGGCAACCACATCCTGGGCTGCATCCCCACAGCGTGGCCAGCAGGACAAGGAGGGGATTCTGCCCCTCTGCTCTGCTCTGGTGAGACCCCCCCTGCAGTGCTGTGTCCAGCTCTGGGGTCCTCAGCACAGGAAAGACGTGGAGCTGTGGGAGCAGGGCCAGAGGAGGCCACAGAAATGATCAGGGGCTGGAGCAGCTCTGCTGTGAGGAAAGGCTGAGAGTTGGGGTTGTTCAGCCTGGAGAAGAGAAGGCTCCGGGGAGACCTTAGAGCAGCCTTTCAACACCTAAAGGGAGCTTGTAAGAGAGATGGAGTCAGACTTTTTAGTTGTAGTAATAGGACAAGGGGTTTTAAACTAAAAGAGGGTAGATTTAGACTGGATATAAGGGAGAATTTTTTTACATTGGGGGTGGTGAGGCACTGGCACAGGTTGCCCAGACTGGTGGTGGATGCCCCATACCCTGGAAACTTTCAAGACCAGGTTGGACGGGGCTCTGAGCAGCCTGATCCAGTTGAAGATGGCAGGGGGGTTGGACTGGCTGACTTTTAAATGTCCCTTCCAACCCAAGCCATTCTGTGGTTCTATGATTTTATAATTCTCTCCTCCAAATGGCAGAGAGCTGTGCTTGTGCTGTTGGCTGGATTTTCTTTTTCCTTTTTTTTTTTTCTTTTCCTGGCTTTGATGTTTTTTAACAAAAAAAGGGAAAAGGGATTGTGTATACTGAGCTGCTCCGACAAGAGGATGTGCAGCAAGCTGTCTGAAAGCAGGCTGTCACTGAAGAGCATACTCACAGGCTCCGCAACCCTCTGCTTAGAGTAGTCCTTGCCTGCTGCTTCTTGTCATCACCACTGGATTAACCAGCAGAGTAATTAAGCACTGCTGCGGCTCATCTGTGAAAGTGGTGGATTCTGCATCTTTTGACATCTTTGTCATGATTCAGTGTTCTCCGGTTCAACCACAACAACTTTAAATCAGTCCTGTCTAATGCAGGTCAGCCTGAATCATCATCCCTTGTGATGGTAAAACACGTGGATGTTTTATTAAGGAAAAGGAAAAAAAAAAAGAAAAGTGGTGGCCTACAAAGCATCTTGCTCGCGGCTGTGGCTGAGCTGGGATATTTTTCTGTGTTTAACAAGGAAATGTCAGGAGAGCCAAGCCTGACCTTCCTGGGCTTTGCTGAAGGACCGGGACCTGGAGTGCCCTTACTGCTCATTAGCTGCAGTGCTGGCTGGGGGTAGGAGGTTGGGTCTTTAACAAAGGCTTCTCTTCTCCAGAACGTCAGTCATTGGAAGCAAATGGGTGTTAAACTGTACAGAAAGCCAAGCATCTCAAACAGTGGTGCAAGAGCCCAGCTCCTTGCTTGTGGAGCTGTCGTGGTCTTGGCTGCTATGAAGCCCTTCTGCGCTCTGTCCCCAGTCTTGGTTGCCTCCCAGTGCATATGAGCTGCTGGGGGTAGAGAGAGAGGCACCTTTGGGCTTTCACAGAGTGGACACTGTCCACAGCTTCATCCTTTGATGGCAGTGGTAACATCTGCGGTTAGAACAGCTCGGTTTCCCTGTGGAAGACCTTGCTCTGGTTTCCTGTGCAGCTCACACGGTTTTCTCAGTTGTCTGGTAGTTTTACCTTCTGCTTCTTGCCAAAAAGAGCCCACCACAACGAGGCAGATGTGCTGAAATTCAGAGATGTAGATGTGGGTCTGACCATCACCTGCAATGGTTGATTTCCTTCAGGATGCCAGTTACAACCCCGTGATGCCCAGGAGCAACATAAGCGTTCTGTAAGCACTGTCCCTAATGATCAGCTTCTACTGCAGTGAGTAGGTTGTTGTAGCTGCAACAAAATCTACTGCTGCAGAAATTTCTTTCTGACTTGGGAACACAAAAGTTCTGTGAAACCACTCGAACCTAATGGAGATTTTATTGCTTTTTAAAAATGCAGTACTGGAAGCTGCTTTCCCTTTGCATCTGAGTGAGGAGCAAAGCCCAAGAACATACCAGAGAGATGCATTCTGTTCTCTGGGTCCTTCTTGCCCTTCTTGAAGATGGAGTGGCATTCCTCTTCAGGAAGGTCTTCAGGCACTTCTCCCAATCACCATGGTTGATCAAAGAGTAGCAAGAGTGGTCTCGCAGTGGCATCTGCCAGCTCCCTCAGCACTCATGGGTGCACCCCATGAGGGCCCATGGACTTCGGTATGTCCAGTTTTGCTTTGTCCGGGATCCTTGACCCGATTCTCTTCCACCAAGGGCACATCTCCCTTGCTCCACATCATCTCTGGGACCTGG